GACAGCTCAGCTAATTAACACCTTCCCACATTACACTACAAAACATCATTTGTCAGTTAAAGCTCCTCCAAGATTCGGAATTAACAACACGACCAACTTGTCCCTCCATTTCTCTATCCTATTTCTGTACTTTCGTTCTCTTCTGATGCTGGTGTCTTCACCATCACTACACATTCCTTGATCAAATTTCTTCCGAATTAAGTTCTTGGTTTTCATTCATTAAGTATACTTATACAATATAAAAAGCCTTCTTGTTCTGCTGAATAGAGGCCAAAGGCACTTGTAAGAAAGTTTGTTAAGAGAAGACTAAGAAATAGTATTATCACCTAAACAATATCTCAGTATATGATTCTTATGCAGCGGAAACTTTTCTTTTCGGGTTGATTTGTTGATTTGGCATTTCTTTAGCAATGGGGTAATCAGATAATTCAAAGAAGTGCAGAAAATACTTCTTCAGTTCTTGTGAATGCGAAGCTAACAACGAGGACTTTCTCTTGTTGCTGCAACAGGAAAATCTTAAAGTTAGCATATCAGGCACATGCAGTTATAAACATTTGTAAGCATACAAGAGAACTTAGTGGTAGATGTTTCAGAGAAGACTTTTAATTTGATGCTATCTTCAATATGAAGACTAAGGAAGGTTCTAATGAGAGACCAGCAAGAAGCAAATGCGACTATTAGTAGCGACTTTGAGTTGAAAAGTTCTATTAAGATTTGAACACTTGAAAATAAGAGTACAAGGCTGGCAAAATTAACAAAAGACTTGTTCCAAACCGCACGTTTATGAGGACTTGGAGGTTTCCTTATCTTGAACAAGTTGAAGCAGGGCCAAGAGAATATTTTTTACAATTTCTGAGATATTTTCATCCACGAAAACTAAGTTTGTAAGACGCAAGGCACGCTGTGGAAACAAACCAATGACCAGTTCGCAAGCTGACTTGGGTGGTGTTTGTCTTATGGTGGCAATACAGTACCACTCGTTAATTATCAAACCAAGCATCAGGTTTCAGAAAATGAATTACTCAACAAGAAAAATTAGGCGTCGTTCACTCTCTTTTGGCTTTGTTTTGCTTATTAGCTTCTTTCTGTGTACTCACTTTTTTTCAGAAAAAATAAATTTCTAGAGAAAATATAATATAAATTTAAATTATGAATTAAAAGCAAGGTGAACTCCTAATTATTTATTGGAGAGATTTAGTGAACAAATTAAAATGGCTATTTTAATTTGGGGGAAAAAACTAGAGACTAAAGTGAGGCGGCAGATCGCTTGGGATAGCTGAGAAAATATCAAAGGGTTTGCATCATGTCAAGATATTTCAACTATCTATTGTTAACAAACGACTTGTCTAGTTTTTTCTTAGAACAATTTCGTTATTAATCTCGAGGTTAGTCTAACATAGTAAACTTGGAATGAGTGGATGACCAAACAACAAAAGTTACAGCCAAACAGTATGTTTTATGAATCAGAATGATCCTCATTCTCACGTTGGAGACAAACCATTTAAACAGGTTAGGCAGTTAACCGTTAAAAATCGAAGCTTCAGGCAACTTTTGGTGGGTCTTAAACTTTCCATTAGATAGGAAAGGAGGAGCTGAGCTGGGAACGCGTCAACGAAAAAGGAAGACGAAGAAGAAGAAAATCTCATTCCAAATGTGAGCCGAATGGCTTTGATTTTTTGCGCTTTTTCACTTTTGAATCAGACCCCACCAGGTTTGTCCACTTCAATTCTCAAATTAGACCGTTTCTTTCCTATAAAATAAGGCTTTCCATGTTGAGTAATTCCCTACATGCTGCCTTCATCTTCCCCTGCAAACACAAAAATGGCTTTAGCTTTTCGTTCTTCAATTTCTTTCATCAACCAGAAAGAACCCAAAACTTCCGACGTCGTCGTCTCTGCTTCAGTCTCCTTCGCCAAAATAAAGCCATCGCTCCGCCTGCGAGCCATGCACTCAAACTCGACGCCCGAATCACAGGCCAAACGGCACAGTGATCATCATCATCAACACCATGCGAGGAGGACGAAGGAGAAGTGGGAGAGAAAGTACACGCGCCGTCGTCTGTGCATGGTCACAATCACGACCACAAGGAGTGGATGAAGGTGCCCGTGTTCGTGATGCTGCCGTTAGACACCGTGACAATGGGAGGGACTTTGAATAAGGCAAAAGCGATGAATGCGAGTTTGATGGCCCTCAAGAGCGCAGGAGTTGAAGGAGTGATGGTGGATGCTTGGTGGGGTTTGGTGGAAAAAGATGGCCCTTTGAATTATAATTGGGATGCTTACATTGAGCTCGCCAACATGGTGCAGAAACATGGCTTAAAGCTTCAGGTGGTCATGTCTTTCCATCAGTGTGGAGGCAATGTCGGAGACACCTGCAGGTATGTCTGTCTGTGTCGCACTTCAATTATTTTCGTGAAAATATGAGTACAACTGTCGGGGGAAAACATGAAACGAAGCAGAGTTGGGAGATTATATATTTCTCTAAATTGAAGCATAAATGTGATGATTGTGTGTTTCAGCATCCCTTTACCGCCATGGGTGCTTGAAGAAATCAGCAAGAACGCGGACCTGGTTTACACGGACAAATCAGGGAGGAGGAATCCTGAGTATATCTCGTTAGGCTGCGACTCACTGCCCGTGTTAAGAGGAAGGACGCCTGTTCAGGTCTATAGTGATTACATGAGGAGCTTCCGCGACACTTTTAGAGATCACTTGGGCACTGTTATTGTGGTAAGTTGCACAATTTCTTCTTCTGCTACGATTTTGGAATCAATGGGGAATTTGTGCTTGCTTTCTCCATGTTATCGTATTAACTATACATGCTGTTATAGAAGAGATTGATTTTTAGATGCTGCTGGGCCGCCGCCGCCGCCAGCAGCATTAGAGTTGGATTATATTCTCAAGTCAAATTGAAGTCTCAAAACGGGTCTTTCATCATTTTAAATTCTAAAATTAGAGTGTGTTTGATAGGCAGCCCATTTAAATTCTAATACCACAACACTCTTTTTCAGGAAGTTCAAGTGGGAATGGGTCCTTGTGGGGAGCTGCGATATCCATCTTACCCAGAAAGCAACGGAACTTGGAGGTTTCCGGGAATAGGGGAATTTCAATGCTATGACAAGGTAATTCACGAATTTTCGAATAATCTTTCTAAACAAGGGCTCAAATTATAGTTCTGACATTCTTTGTCATCACAAGATATAATTTCAAAAAAATATGTATCTCAGTAACTAAAATGACCAGTTTGTCACAACTCATACAGTATATGCGAGCATCTTTGGAAGCATCAGCAGAGGCCATTGGAAAGAAAGAATGGGGAAGAAGCGGACCCCATGACGCTGGCCACTACAATCAATTCCCAGAGGAGACTGGATTCTTCAAAAGGGACGGAACGTGGAACACCGAGTACGGACTCTTCTTCTTGGACTGGTACTCCACCAAACTGCTCCAACATGGCGACATGATCCTCGCATCTGCCAGTGAAATTTTCCAACATTGTGGGGTCAAACTTTCCGGGAAAATTGCCGGAATCCACTGGCATTACAGATCAAGGTCGCATGCTTCTGAGCTAAATGCTGGATACTACAACACTAGATTCCGTGACGGCTATCTACCAATAGCAAGAATGCTGGCAAAACATAGGGTTGTGTTCAACTTCACCTGCATGGAAATGAGAGACAGAGAGCAGCCAGAACATGCAAATTGCTCACCAGAAGGGTTAGTTCATCAAGTGAAGATGGCAACTAAGGAAGCTGGAGTAGAACTTGCTGGTGAGAATGCACTGGAGAGATATGATGCACATTCCTATGCTCAAGTCTTGGCAACAAGCAGATCAGACTCGGGCAATGGATTGGCTGCATTTACATACCTTAGAATGAATAAGAAGCTGTTCGAAGGAGATAATTGGAGACACCTCGTGGACTTCGTGAGAAGCATGTCTGAAGACGGTCGGAGACACGGACTTCCACATTGTGATTCCATTGGGACGGACCTGTACGTCGGTCATATAAAAGGCACTAAGAAGAAACAATATCAAGATCAACACGTTGCTCTTGTGTGAATATTTACGGAGGCATGTTCAGGCGCCGTGGGGTATATATATCTTTTAAGAGTACACAGTAAGATGTTACGGAAACAAAATCATAAAAAGACAGAGAAACAGAGAAAAGTGGAAAAGTTGTGACACGAATACAGAACTGTGGCATCCGTGTTGTGCCATGCCAAAACCTGCGATGGTGGAGAAGAAATTATTTTGTTCATGTCATGTATATAAGTCCAGTATCATTGGATAAAACCTTTATACCTAAATATCCACTGCATAGTGATATCGTACTTTATTCGCGATGTCGGTTGTTTGGGAGAGACACCCAGGGGCCACGAAACTCATTATATACAACAAACACTTCACTTCTGTCATAGAATAAGAGCATGTTGTGTTTTCTTGTTTATAGTTAAAAGCACCAACTTCTCTCTTAAGTATATCAGTGCTATAGACTAGCACAATTCTCACCTGGAGAAAAACATAGTCCATATTCCTAAAATAATCTTTCATACTGCAATGCATGAACCTTTGATGTCACGATGAAGCCAATATGTAGTTTCCTGGAAATATAATTCTGCAAATTCGGAAAACTATTCACATTGATCATCAACACTTACTAAAGAGATCTCGGATTATTACCGCAAGGTTAAACTGCTCAATGATCAGCGTCTAAATCATAAATTAGAAGTTACATATTCGATTCTCTATACTTTCAAATTGCTTTGATCATCCATAAAGTACTCGTACAATCTAAAAACAAGAAGAAATGTTCAAAAACATTGAGGTAAATAAACTGCTTTTCTCAGAATGAAGTAATTCGTGCGAGCCAAAGACAGCAAGAGCGAAAAAAGGCGGTAACATATCTTGTCGATAAGCCAAGAAGTTCACACGGAGAGAAGCCTTATTTTCTGTAGTTACTGATAGAATGACGCCAAGAATCAAGGATTTATGCAGCCGCATTTCACGAATAGAAATCATTAAAACTCAACATATAGAGCTGTGCGTATTCAATAAGTTAGCGTATTCTCCCACAGTTAAATGTGAAACATTCAACCCCTACATTTAACACTACTTACAATATTGTCAAGGCAGAGGTCCAGTGTATTTTGAAAGCACACAAAGTACAAACCAAGACTTGTGCGGAATCTAAAGACTACGGGAAATAGACTTATGCCCAGATAAGAATTGCAAAGTCTTTCAAAATTAGCCAAGGAGTGTATGAAACATGCCGCTGAACATGATCCAGGAATCGCCTCGTAACCAGCCAACTCATCAAAGTCGTTCACATCGCTTCAGGCTGATACCCTGCTTCGACATTGCATAAAAATGAGTCAACACGAAGCTTATTCATCAAAGGACAAGTGCCAAATGATAATTGTGCATGAAAAGGCTACAAGCCTACAGTAGGAAAATAGTCTGCCGTATCTACAAACAGTTAACTTTGTATTGAATTGCGCAAATCGCAAATCAATTAGAAGTGAGATCGAATTCAATGGGCACTGGAAACAAGGAAGTCCAAAAGCGAGACCACGAAGAGAGACGAGAACTACCGATTCAAGAATGAGAACCGGAGGAAGGGTTTCCCCGACGGAGATCTTCGATTAAGTCACCAAGCTCTTTGCGAGAGGACTCTCTGCCGAACATGAAACCGTACCTGATGCAGAGAATTAATGAGAGTGAAGAATCCTAATACAAAAGGAGAAAAGGGGGGGAAGATAGTCACCAAAACGAGATCGCAGAGAAAATGCCAGCGGTGGCCACAGTCTGAATGAGAGTGAAGCTCTTCTGAGTCTTCTCCATTTCAGCTGAACAGAATTCTTCACATCATTTCAGGCTTCAGTACCCGCTTTGACAGTTGCGACTCCTGCTCTGGAACGGAGCCGCTCTCACTTAATTAAGGCCTAGAAAAATATCGGAGGCCCAAAATTGATGAATAAACCTTGTTCGGCGAACTGGATTAGAAATATGGGCTTAGGCACTCACTTCCTATAAAAAGAGAAAAATCACTGTAAGACCCGACCCAAAAATTCTATAACATTTGAGAAACATGCAATCATAAGTTGGCACGTGAAAAAAAAAACAACAGGTTTTGATTGCTTACTTGTTATTAAAAGTTTTTAAAATATTATGATATTTTTAGATTTTAGATTTTATATTAATATTAATTAAAGTAAAAGTTTCAATACTTGTTAAATAAATATCGGCCAAAAAGCATAAAGAAAATCTGATCCGACGGTCACACGGTTGTAATCGCTAATCACCGTAGCCTCATTCGTCAACATTGCTTCCAATTATTAGTATTGTCAATTGTCCACACTCTACCATCACTTTGCCTTATTTCTAGTCGGCTCAAAATATGTATTATTAGTTTCATTCAAGTCAATGCCAGCAAGTCCTCTTGACGTTGTCATACCCATTTCTTTCAAAACTACGCCGCACAAACAAAACCATTATTAATAATTTACTCTGTTGAACTTCCACTAGTCAAAAGTCAAAGCACTTAATATCATAAGAAAACTTCATTAATTATTCTTCAAGTTCCCACTGGGGAAACCAAAAAAAAAAAACTGTTTACAGGAGGTTGAATTAGAGAACCCCATGGCAAAGGGGCCCAAAAAAATATGGAAATAAATGACCCCTCCTAAAGTATCTCCAGCTGGCAGCCGCAATAGAATACGCGCTTCTAACACTTTTTTTTGCCCCGGAGTCGGCCAACTGAGTACATTTCTTCCTTCTTACCCATTCCCTGAAGGCTGAAATTGGGTATAGACTTCCTCAGTGTTCTAGGAACAGACGGCAGCTTCTCATTCACCACACAGCCAAATAAAAGAGAAAAATTGCAGCATTTCGATTATTGACCTGATGCCGTGGAAACTAAGTTCGGTATAGATACCTGTTAGACTAGGCAGCCTTCCCTTCATTGCGCTGATGATGATATGTTCCCAATATGCGTTGAAAGCTAGTTTTGGATAAAGACGGGACCTGGCTTCGTGGGACCAGATGACCAGAAAACGCATTCAACTTACGCATGACATGAGCTAAGAGTTACACTATTTGCTTTTTGGAACCAATTTAGAAGCCATTTTTGAAGTTTCTGAATACTGCAACGCTTGCTTCAAGCTTTCCACTACCTGACTCATAGATGGCCTTTCTTCAGGTCTCTTGTTTAAGCATCTGTCTGCCAACTTGGCTACCTTCCGAGCAGCACCATGCGAATAATCATTTCTGAGTCGAGGGTCCATTATCATGCTGAACCTCCCACTATCAGCAGGATACTGCTTGACCCAATCTAGAAGCTTCTGTTCTTTCGGTCGTCTTCTATCCAATGCTTGCCTCCCTGTAAGTATCTCATACAATACCACACCAAAACTCCATATATCACTCTGAACTTTGAGGTGGCCTGTTTCTATATATTCTGGGGCAGCATATCCATATGTCCCCACCACCTGACAACAAGCATAAGATACAAACGTCGGTAGTGTCAGCTCAAATAATTTTAAAGAATGTCAAAACAAAGCTGCTTTTTTTTTTTTTTTGGTCAAAAGAACAAAGCTGCTCTATTTTGACTTGGTAATACAAGGTTCAATCCACCATCCACCTACCGCTGTGGACACGTGAGTCTGGTCACCACTTGGACCTTCCCTAGCAAGACCAAAATCCGAAAGCTTTGGATGGAAGTTCGTATCCAATAAAACATTGGAAGATTTGAAATCTCGGTATATTACCTACCAAATAAACAATCAAGAAGATTATCAACAAAAGTAGGGGTTTGAATGCCCAATTCGCAGATACGAAACTTTATAAGGATGAAGTACCTGAATCTCTAATTCCTCGTGTAGATAAAGTAATCCTTGGGCAGCACCGAGCATGATCTGCAATCTCGTTTTCCACGGCAAGGTGGGAAAAGCCCGTCCGAAGAGGTGATCCTCCAGGCTCCCGTTGGGCATGAACTCATAAACTAACACCCGTTGTATTCCTCTTTCTCCATCTTGAGAGAAGTATCCTAATAGTTTTACCAAATTTGGGTGATTAACAATGCCCAGAAATTGGACCTCTGCCAGCCATTGTTTATGCCCCTTAACAAGAAAAAAGACTACCTTCAGAAAGAGATATAGCTAATGCAGATATTATTACAATGTACAAGTGTCATGCTAATTCAGATTTCAGACACTCAAAAATTGGATAAACCATAATAATAAATCCTGTAGATGGCACCGATGTAACAAGGTAAATGTCAACTACAATATTTCTTATGCCCAACAAATATTACTAATATGGATTGTTATAGTTCTTGACACGTGAAGGAAGAAACAATTGGGTTTCAAAGTTCCCAATTAACTTCTTTTAGTACACCTCTTCAGAACAGCTTAGCGCAGAAAAATTTACTAGATATAAAACACGAACAACGTCCTCTCTATCTAATAACTATCAACCTAGGCCAATTTAACTGTCAGCTACTGGAGCAGATAAGAGTTACTCACTGCACAAAACAATTGGAGAAAGTAAAAATAAAGAAAGAGGATTAGACAAGAACAAAGCTGCAGAAGCCGGTATACCTGAAAACCACGGGTGTTAAGGCTTTTTATCGCAACAACAATAGGATCACCTCGACCATCTTGAGGCCTGATCGTACCTTTATAAACGCTCCCGAAACCCCCTTCTCCAATCTTCAGCCTCCTATTGAAATCATTCGTGGCCTCCCTGAGCTCTTGCAAAGTGAAAACTCTCAAATTGTGCTCTTTCTCTTTGTACAATTCTGTTATTGTTTTCGGTGATGGCAGCGAACTCGTTGAACTCACTGCCTGATTTGAACCCGGATGATTCTTGTGTGATTGTTTCTTCGATTCTGAGGAGGACTTCGATCCTCTTTTAAATTTGAACAAGAAGCACTTCATTTTCTAAACATTCATTTAGCGATGTTCCCGATTAAGGAATGTTATCGCCGACTCTAAATTTTCACACTAAACGAACAGGGTTTTTCCAACGAAAGGAAGATTCACAGGCTGGAAAGAAGAAAGCTGAGAGGCTGAGGAGGAAGGGATTCAGAGCAGAGAATTAGATGGGAAACAGAGTTGAAAAACCGATACGTAAAAAGAGAATGATAATGCATTGAAGATGGAAATTCAGTGGGAATAAAAGCAGAAACAAGCTGGTCAAAAATAAAAACAGCCGAACCTAGAGAAACTGAGAATTCCCGAAATTCAAAACACGAGTTGCGTGAAGTGGAAGGAATTGAATAATTATTGGAACAAGGATTAATTTAGAGAAAGGGAAAGCCCCGAAAGAGATGAGAAGCTGCGGAAGATAGCCACAGCGTTCAGGGAAGAAATATAGCGAAGCGAGACCCATTTTTTTCCCCCCAAAGACTACATATAAATAAAAGAGATTTTTCAAACCTGGAGCTTCGAAGATGAGGCAGCGTCAATGGCAATTCAACAGACTGCTCTTAATGAGGTGCCACCGCCACACGCACAGCACCCTTCCGGGGGTGACATTGACTCAACCATCCCTTTCCTTTTTTTCTTTTTTTTCCCTTTTTTTTTTGGCCGACCTTAACCATCCCTTTCTTTCTTCTTCTTTTGAAACTTGAAGCTTTTTTTTTTTTGTTTTTAATGGGATTCTCCCTAGTTAATAATCCCTCATTGCTTTTTATATAAAATAAACATCAAGATAAAAATAGATAAATCCAGTTGCAAGTTATAAATATATCATAGAGGACTATATTTTTAAAAATAACCTTATTTAATGATTATCTTAAGGAATTGAATAGTGGCTTATAAATGAGATATCATCTCTTTTTTTAAATAACGACATAAGTAAACACTTTTAATAAATATCATAGATAAACAAAGAATTTTTTTCTTAATAAATAGTGTTCATTCAAGCAAAACGTTAAATCCGGCTGGCTTTGAAGTTTGGATGAAAATATAATATGACAATATTAAAGATATTATAATTATATATAAGGGTTAATTAATCTGCAAGTCCTTATAGTTTTAACGAATTTTGAATCAGGTCCCTATAGTTTTTTTTCTTTTTATCAAGTCCTTATACTTTTACCTTTTTTTAATTAGGTCCTTGTATTTATTTTTCTTTTAATTAAGTCCTTATAATTTCACTAAATTTTTAATCAAGTCCATATAGTTTTAATTTTTATTTATTAATTAAATATAAACTTAATTAAATAGATTAATACTGAAATAAAATATTAATAATTAAATTAAATTAATAATTATGTAATAAAAAAGTAATAGAATTAATTAATTCAGGAAAATTCTTTAGAACAATTAATTTTTTTGCTGAAAAAATTAAAATCATTATAATAATTCAATATCTCTAGAATATTATTGTTTATAAACTAATATTAAATAATATATACTATTTTATGTTTATATAATAGTACTATTAGAATTTATAAAATAAAGAATAAAAAATTCAGGGACTTAATTAAAAATAAGGTGAACTTATAAGGACTTGATAAAAAGAAAAATAAATACAAGGACCTAATTAAAAACAGGTGAAAGTATAAGGACCTGATAAAAAGAAAAAAAACTATAAGGACCTGATTCAAAATTAGTTGAAACTATAAGGAGCTGTGGATTAATTATCCCTTATATATAATACTTCTACTAGATTAAAATTACCTACCACACTAAAATAAAACGTTCAAAAAGCTAATTATGTGTTGCGGAAAAGAAAAATTAAACTACGTAATCATGTAATCAGACATTTTTGAATGAAATTTAAACACTTCTCTTAAAAAATATTATCTTACTAAGGGAGTGTTTGGATGAGTCCATAAGTGTTTTTTTAAAAGTATTTTTTCGTAAATCGAAATAAACCCATCCACATATTTACTTTGTAGACTGTAAAATCAAAATCATAGTTTTGTTTCTATCCAAATACTTTTTAAAACTGAAAAGTCTAGCACCCATCATCTTTGGCTCACTAACAAATTTATAGAACTTAAGAGGTGTTTGGTTATCTCAAAAACACTTTTTAAAAATGTTTGTATGCAAGTCGAATAAAGAAAATTATTAAGTTAGCAGAATACTAGATGATTCTTCAATGAATAAAGAAAATGCTAAGAAAACAGAAGCGCACAAAGATGAACCTTCGTCCCGCGTTTTACTAGTTCCCATTGCTCTCGTGCGGGGCAGAACGTTGGAAAGACAAGCAAGTAGGAAAAAAAAAACTCTCAGCTAATTTATTCAGTCGAGTAAAAGTCAAGAAAAGGGAGGTACCCATTAGAGAAACAAAAGACAAAAGTGGTACTAAGGACAAACCACTTGGTCAGACAATGGTTTTGTGGGAAGTCAAGAGTGTGGGAATAGACTGTTCTGGTTTTTATGGTTTGACAATTCACAGCTTCATGTTCCCACGAAGTTGTGTTGTATTGTCCAATGATGAATGAGGACCCCAATTCGATTCGGATTCTTGTGAAGCCACCGCGATCATCGGCACCTACCACATTGGTGATTTGGAGATTTGGATCAATACCGACCTCCATTAGCATGTGAAGATCATTAGAAAGAAACCTCTTTGTTAAGCTGCACCGAATACTAAAATTTTCGAGGTGAAAAAGAGACGGATAAGTTAAATTGACGCACTCAGGAGAATTTCATTGTTTGGCCACCAATCTCAGCTACCTAGTTTGAAATAGAAAACCATCCGAACGTGGCCATACAGCTTCTTTTAACATTCTCCCATGTCGTATTGGGCTAAAAAAGTGGGTTTGTTGCTTGTTTCATGACTCTTTGCGGGATTATTATGTTCACAAACTTTAGGGCAATTCCGCTGTAGCTGCACTTACGTTTTAAAATAAATATAACAAGCTAGTGCGTTTGAGACTATGATAGATTTCAATATGATATTAAATACACTCTCAGGTGAGGTCTCAGTGACAACCCCCCCCCCCCCCAAATTAAAAAAAACTAAAGAAAAGGTTTTTTTTTTTTTAACATCTTCCCAGGAACAACTATAGCTCCACACTGAAAATCTATACCTTTAACAACTTTTTTTTTCAAAAAAAAAAAATCCAGATACTACGGGTAATACTATCTGTGGGCTCACCAAACAAAATATATATAATAATAGAATAAATTCTTTGTCCAATAAAAAATAATTGAACAAATTCCCTCAATGGAAATGACACTGCTAGCTTGTCATAGAAAACCGACAGCAATGCATAAAAATACATCTAAGAATCAATCACGTCAGCTCATTTTGGCTATTCCTGTGACCCGGTAGCTCCATAGAAAATTTTCCCCATTCAATGAATAATTAATCATGAAACCCTGTAACCACACTAAAGGAGAGCCTGGTCCATCATTCTCAGGTCAGCCAATCTCTATAGAAAATTACGAAACAACACGTCCAATGCAAAAGCAACTGAGCAAGCTCTGTCATGTAAAAACAGCTGCAGCCAACCTCATCACCGTCAAAGCAAAGAACAGGCAAACTAATCGGATGAGCTCATAGCTCACACACTAAATCGTAGCTCAACTATGATCCCAAAGTAACTTCCGGGTCTGGGCTGGGGGTGCTAATCCTGGAATATCCCGAATGTCCTTGTTGTTTGGGTGCACGATCTGAAATTTGAAAAAACAGCTACTTATGTACGTTGTCATCTTATTGCTGCTGGATAATTTAAACCACAGTGTTTGGTGGCGGAATTGACTCGATATTGACACTACATGCATTTTTTATTAGGTCGTGATGTGTATATAAAATGACCATAATCTGACAGAAATTTCTTATCACCATCTATTGAAAAATCACAAGATTCAGTAGCTCACAAATGAACATTTTTCGAATACAAACATATTAGCAGCTATAATTTCTTGTTATTGCAACTATATGTTTGCTATTGCTAACAGTTTCTAACTTCTTCAAATTTATCACATGGCTGCATGGATTAGTTATTCAGAAAACAGTGGCACAGAAGCGAACATTTTCAGTAAAACACACACATGAAGGGAAATCAAGGGCTGTCAGGCAAGAAACTGGAAAGCACAAGCACCTGGTTAATTACAGTTAACCAATTGCTTCCCCTATTTGTAAACAAATTATCTAAGCTAAATTTATTCACCGTGAAATGCCAAAAAAAGAAAAAAAAGGAAAACCAAGAAATAAGAAGTCAGATAAAATCATACGGAAGAAAACTAACTCTTACCTTTACAATAATGATAGCTATTACTCCAATCACAATAAGAACCAGTAATGCCATAATACACTTGTCAGTAGCAACCTATTGTAAAACTCCGGCATGTTAACCAATAGCAAATAAATATACTTCAAATATTACAATGCAACCGGGGGATAACGTAGAAATTGACCTGCCTACCGATTTCCTTCACCAATTTAGTTGCTCTCTTTATGGAGAAATGGATAGAATCCAGCTCATTGACGATTCTGCTCATTTGTTCCGTCTAAAAATAGAAGAGATTGCTGTCCTTAGTACCATAACAACTTAAAGTATTCTGTTTCTTCACCTTTTTTTTGGCTACATTGGAAGAGTTTGAATTCTAGACATACCCCATCCCACCCTTCTATTTTTTATTTGATTCCAATTTCTTCTGTTCTTTTTTTGGGAAGGGGGCATAACAAGCATGCACATACCTGAGCCTTAAGAGCTGCATTAGTCTCAACCCCGACATTTATTGTCTCTTCAACAACCTATTAATAGAGTGATTGACAGAAATCAACGTGATGCCAAATTATCAGCCGGAGGTATTCAAACAGAAAGGATTGTAAATAAATATGTATATAGATTCAGCCAATTTCTGTAATAAGAAGGAACACCGTTGGGTTGGATGATCCCTCAGAAGTGATATATGTAACTACCCATTAAGTGAATAGTGGACATGAAATTTGATGTGTAACGTTCTCTCGCCAAACAAAACCCTCATTTAATGGATTGGCAAATTAGCATCATTTACTACGACTGGTTCAACCAACTTTCCCAGACAAAGCAAACTCAGTTTACTAAAGTCTCAATTGACCTAGTTTTATGACGCAACTGTTATTCAAGATATTAGACCTACCTTCTTTCCCCTCTCAATGGCTTGATCTGTCTCGTCCATCATCCGATTCCCCCTATCAATCAGCTGTTCATTTGTCATTGCTGTAAAGAAAGAAGTTTCTTACATTATAAAAGCTCCACATAAGAAACAACATATTTCACGAAGTAGGCATGATCAGTAATGCAAATATCAACATAGAATGTTGTGGGAGGCATGACCATTTTCCCCCACTCTCGTTATCACTGGAATAATTATACCCTCAACTCAAATTTTCCAAAACATCTAGGATTCTCTGCTTCTCCGATGACCGAAACAGCATAAAGTTCTACTAGAATCTAGAGATATTGGATTTTTCAGAAAATAATCAATACAACTACGAATTATATAAAGTAAACAGAACAAGAACCAGAGGATTTATATAAAATAAGACAATTAAGGAGACAAATATGCAATGGTTAAAAAGACACAATAACATAGTCCAATCACTAGTTCCACATGGTTTAACAGATTAATCATGAACTTTCATTTATATGGATATCAAAGACAGGATATATGACTATTACAACAACAATAACAATGAGCCTTATCCCACTAGATGGGGTTGACTATATGAATCGCATGACGTCATTGTGCTCTATCAACAACCAAGTCTTTAGATATGTTATTGACTAGAATGTCTTGTTTAGTGATTTTATTGAGCGTTCTTCTTGTTCTTCTTCTGCCTTTTTTTAGTAGCATCAAAACTATCTAACCTAAGTGAACCTCATGGAAAAATAGCATAGGTTAGAGAAGCTTATATGCTTACAGGAAGCTAGCAAGACATTTTCTTCTGCATAGCCTTCATTAGGCCCCTCGAAGAGCTGAATTCGCTTATTTTCAATATCTGTGGCATATCTGCATTGCAACCAACACTATAGGCTAAATGGTCCATGATATCAACATATGCACCCTACTCGTATTAGAACACAGATAACATAAAAAAGACATTTTGACAAAGTTAGATCGTGAATGATATGAACTACAGAGTCCATGCCTGTCCAACAGACCAACATCAACTACTAGCATATGTTAACTTACTGCTTTTTAAGAGCAACATATGAATTTAACTCTTTGATCTGCAACAAAAATTGCAATTACTTATCAGTGAGGTTGAAGAATGTTAATGATAATCATCAGGACCAAGAGGCCCACCGGGGGGGGGGGGGGGAGTTACCAATTTTAGGAACTAACATAAGGATATCATATAGGTCTCAGAAGTTAACATCTTACCATGGACTGCTTTTTCTCATTCAGCATTTTGTTGGTTTCCCTATCATTTCTGCCCTCCAGAGCCTTAACTTCTGCATCAAACTCTTTTATAAGCCTGAGAAAATAGAGCCAGTCAGCCAATAAAACATATTAATATACACCATGCACTCAGAATAGAGATCAAAACCTCAATTCTTAGGTTGTGGCAGCTCATGATCGGCTTCCAAAACCAGTGGTTTCAGTAAAATGGCAGTAATAATATCTTGAAAGTAAGAAAAATGGTTTTTTATGGACAATCTGTGCTGCGGCTGCGTTTATTGACATAAGCAAGCTACGCAGGGCTGGTCTGGCTGGTTATAAATTCCTATATAATCATAGACATTCCTGAACTACCATAAGCGCGAATAGCTGTGGTTGTTGCACCCACTTGCCAATTAAATAGCCCCAGCTTCCCTCTTCTCAACTTCGTATCTGTCCTATCCTCTCTAGATCTTTTTTCAAAATTTCCCTTGCACTAATGGAAGCAATACGAAAAATAGAAATAATGTAATAATCGCCAACATACCGCTTGCAGTCTCGCATTTTATCAGTCAACTCTTCCAGCTGCCTGCTCTGCCTATTTGAATCCTTAATCTTCTCCAATTTCTGAAATCCATTTCTGTACGGATAACACTGCAACTATTCAGTACCAACAATATAAACAGCCGCAAGTTGCGTCATGATTAAACAAAAGGGACTATACGAGGTAAGATTTGAAACATTGCCAATATCAGCACCCAGGTGATGCTAGCCTCGACATTATGGCAACAGTTCAAGGAAAGGCAGATTTTATCTATACGACAATTTGAGAAACCAACAAGGTTTGAGATCTTACGATAAAGCGCGGAAAATGTCGCTGATCTGTCCGTCGATCTCCGCCAGTCCCTCGCTAAGTGCTGATAATGGATCCATCGTCTCTACTTGAAAGCAATGATATCCGCAACCTTTAAACTTCAGATGACAAATCCAGAGGTCTTCGCAAAAGCTTTGGAAATTTGTATTTGAATACGATGCTTCACAGTTCTACCCCACTATTTCAGATACAAGCAAAAGAGGAAGATCTTCAGGGGGAAATGAATACGCCAGCAAACACGATTTGAGACTTTTGGTTCGATAGAAATGTAGATTCATGGCATCCGAACAACCTCATTGAGAAGCATATGCATTCAGAAGCTTTTGAAATTCAAAGAGTCCCGTTTCCAACCACCGAATTGCCGGAACAGCACCGAATGGAATCGGATCCAAGCAATGCAGGATACAGCTAGCGACCGAGGAGAACGAAACCGGAGGCTCACGCTGTCTGTCGATCTCAAACAGGAAGTTCAGACAAAATTGGATCTCCCTCGTGATCTACAGAAGCTTTGTGGCTGTTTTTTTAAAAATTGCTTGTTATTAATGTTTTATGAGCAACCTTCTTGGGGCGATTCGACGCGTATATTGAGAGGCACCGTAAGCGCGGCCTCAGCGGCCAGACAGAGGCTTCACCCGTTTAAGCCGCGATTGGCGAGTCACCATGGATGGCCCATCTGGGATCCGTCTAAAGCACTACTATAATTTAAGCAAAAACTACATCCTACAGGCACTGCACCTAAATCAAATTGCAACATGGCCAAAAAAAGAGAAAAGGGCGGGGGCGTTTAACCGAAATTATAAATATAACGTTTTCCCCACTTTTTGCTAAGCATTCTAATTAGCACGTTTCAATGATAATTTAGAATTTTATAATTTTATAATTATAACTAAAACACGTATTAAAAAAAACTAAAACATATTTGCATAATTTCTCAGGGTTCTAACATTTTCTACGAGTTGGCGAGCTAGATACTTACAGGCACGGATCGAATCAGTAAGCTGTGCTATCATAAACGTCTGTGTCACTACATCACAATCAGTAAGTTGGCGAAGTTCTAATATTTTCCCGTTTTCCCGGCGGATATAGCTGAGTTATGTTGCTGGTCAAAAAAAAAAGAAAAGATGAATTACGTAACTCATCCTGATAAAGAGCGCAAAATAGAGTTCGTGCCACGTTTATTTTTCAATTAAATCCTCCATCTATTCTTATACTCCTTCTGTTCTAAATATAAGACCCTCATACATTTAAGGGTCAAATTTAGGAAGATATATGTTTTATTTTATGAGTTTTAATTTGAATTTATCTTAACATTTAATATTTTTTAATATTATCCTTAATTATTTTTTTCTAATCATATTTCTCCACACATTCCCTTTCATCTTTTTTTTATTTATTATAAAGGCATATATAAAAATAAAAGTATATTTTTAATTCTTTTATTGTCTTTAACTAATTTTAACTAATTATTTATTATCTGTGAATTAATTATTTAAAACTTATAATAAAGATTGAATAGAGTACTTTTTTGTTTGTCTTCTTAAGAATAAATTTGAATTATTTAAATTTTATTTCAACATTTTTAGCATTTATTTGCTCAAACATGCATTTTTGTTTTTTTTGTTTTTGGTTATTGAAGTATTCTTTTAGAGAAGACAGAGGCATTATGAAAAAATGTAATGTAGTTATATAATATTTTGAAACTGATGCTATGTTTTCGGAGAAAAAATCGATGCAATGTTACAATTTTTTAACGATTAATGTTAAATTGATGTTGAGTTGAAGGGAAAAAACCTCCCATCTCACACTCCCCCGTGAATTAACATGGGAGAGTTAGAAAAAAAAAAAAAGACTAATAAGGAGAGATATTTATGAGAAAGGATCATAAAAATTAAAATTATTTTAAAAGACCAAATATTCAAATATAAATTTAAAAATACCATACTATCCTTATCTAAACCTCCTGTATTTCTTCCTACATTTTATTTTTAAAACTAATATGAATTAATAAAATATACTAAATTAACTTGATTTCTTTTAAAATTCACAACCTGCGTAAAAAATCAATAAAAAAAATATGCAAACATTATTCAGTCAAGTAAAAATTAAATTATTTTCTTTATAAAAAATAAAAAAATTATAACCATCACAAATTTTAATTAAAAATAAAATTTATATAATTTTATTAAAATTTAGATTATTATATAATATATTATATACATAATTTTAAAAAATTTAAATAAAACTTGTATAATTTGTTTTTTTTTATTGTATAAGAAAATTATATTAGATTTAGAAATAAAAAATTCATACAATACCAAGAAGGTTAAAGAATTCAGATAATCTTTTACTCTAATTTTATGCAAAATATGTAACCATGCTTGCTTTTATTGGATAATACTTAATCGTAATCCAGAAAATATTGTCAATACAAAATTTCAATAAATCGTATAATAAATCAAAATATAAACAAATGATAATAAGTTTTTTATTTTTTTGGCAAAATGACGATTTTTTATTATCTTAATCTACTAATTATTAAAATATTAGGTAGAAATTTTAACATATTGAAAATTATTTTATTTTACAAAAATTATTTTGTCGGGATATATCCCCTTGTTGTAATTTGTTTAAGTGAAATACAATTTCTTTTATATTCGTTAGTATTTTATATCTTATATTTTATTTATATTAATATATCATATAATTAGGTGGATCTTGTCAAATGACGTTGAAGAGGGGTCTTATAAAATTATAATAATTATCTGAATTATTTAAATTTCTTATCATTACATGAATTTGTTATTTTAAATTTGACATAAATTTCTTATAAAATAAAAATTAATTATACAAAGTTTTTTATTTTTTAAAATTGTGTATATAGTAAATTATATAATAATATACATTTTAATAAAAATATATAACTTTTATTTTTAATCAAAATCTGTGATGGTTTTGAAAATAAAATTTGACTTTTATAAAGAAAATAAAAATTTAATTTTCACATGAACAATGTCTGCATTTATTTTAATTGATTTTTGCATATGTTGTAAACTTTAAGAGAAATCAGGTTTAATTTAGTAAAATTTATAAATTTGTATTAGTTTTAAAAATAAAATGCAGGAGGGAATATAGGAAAAATAGGGGGTTTGGATAGTGACAATATGGTATTTTTAGACTTATATTGAAACAATTCGTCCTTTCAAATAATTTTAATTTTTTTTATCTTTTCTCATATAGATCACTCTTTATTGGCCCTTTTCTCTAATTCTCCCAATTAACATTGAACATTAAAAAAGGAGGCAACGTGGCGTCATTTTTAAACATGCAACCTCTATACATTGTAAAGAGCATTGTAAAGATTTTTAAAAAAATAAAATAAATCAGACGTAGTCAAAATAATCAAAATGCTTTCCGATCATCTCCTTCGACTAGTTAAGTTAGTGCTGGTTGCTTTATCCCAACAGTTATAAGCCATGGTCGGTGAACTTTGGTCATTGACAGGCCCAACTAGTCAAGATATATTTTAATTTTAATAGCTTTTTTAATTAAGATATTCATATGGCACTGTTTAATTATTTAGATACAATAAATACGATTACTCCCTCCTGTCTCAAAAACTGGGTTTGTGCTGTTAATGTGTCAAACTAGGGGTGTTTGGTAAATTCCAGAAACATTTTTAAAAATTATTTTTATATTAGTCGAGATAAAAAAATTTTCAAATACTTATTTTATGTATTATAAAATTATTTTAAAAATTATAGTTTGGTTTTGAGTTTTTTGTAAAGTCTCATGCGTAGGATTGAAGGTAGACGCATTCATAAAGTTAGTGGCATCCATGAGTTTTTTCTGGCAAAGTATAAATTATTCAAAATATATAAATAAATAATAAATCCTCTCATTTTAATACTACCTCCAGTCCTTAATATAAGACCTTGTTTGAACTTTATTTTGGTCATAAATATATTATCCCGATCCACATTATCTCTCATAGTTATGTATTTTTTTCTAAGATAATCTTTCTAATAATAATAGTTATAGACAATCCACTTGATTAGTAAGGATATTTTAGAAAAGATAACATTTATTTATTACAAATAAATAACTTAATTTATTTTTTTAATCTCCTCAAATTAGTCAACTAACTCTTATAATTAGGACCGAAGGGAGTACAAGTTATTTCTTCCAACTTTATAACACTTCTCTCGTTGTTGTTTTTTTTTTTTTAATACAAGAGAGGGCAAAGCCCAAGCTAAAAGAAAAAACTAAATAAAAGAGGAAACAGATCCCAAAGCATCCATAATAGAAGATCTTGAGAGACCCTCTTTTGCCAAAGCATCAGCGATTTGATTTTGTTGTCTTGAAATAACTTGCATCTTCAGCTCCCAAGAATAACGCAAGAAATTCTGAATATGCATGGAAGTAAATTAAACTCGCTCCTCCGTTACTTTGAGCATGTTTCAGTATGTCCAAGAGATTTTTGGTATCAAATTCAAGAATAACTTTCTTAAATCCTAAATCCCAAGCAAAATTTAAGCTTTTATAAACTGCCCATTCTTCTGTTTCTAAAGAATTGCAATTTCCAATAAAATGAGTGAATCCGACTATCCAATTTTCAGTGTGATTTTTAATTACCCCATCACACCCTGCTTTGCTATTTGAAAAACTCATTGCACCGTCCATGTTTAATTTTATCCATCCCACCGTAGGTGGCATCTAGACTAATTGAGCAGTTGTCATGCTAGTTGAAATGGATTCCTCTTGAATTTGAACATATTTTTTCCAGTTCTGCATAATGACCATAGCAGCTCCAAATATTAAAAAAAAAGGAAAAATAACCAAAAAAACTGCCAAAATAAAAAATTACAAATAAGAACCCATGAAAATATTAGTATGGGTTTTCACAACAATAGTATAAATTTAACAACAATTTTTATACATCGTTCCCTGTGTGTAATTTTTTTTATTTCAACGGTTTTTTTTACTATTTTCCCTTTAAAAAATCAGCGTCAAATAGATTATTATTTCTCCATTTCCAAAGGCACCAAATAGCTACTCTCCAAATCTGGTTCCAAGTCCCATCATCAAAAATTCCCGGGTTCCTTTAAAAGTTTAAGGCAAACCAGTCACACAAGCTAGCAGCCAAAGAGGAAGATTTATACCTAGCACCATAGTCTTTTTGCAGACTCACTCTCTTAAAATGTGCAAAACATCTTCCATGCTAGCCTCGCACCACCGACAAATACTAGAGAGACCAAGTACTCCTCTAAGTATTTGTGGGTAATCTATTGTTAAAAGCTATCCACATGAACACTCTCACCCTTTCAGCACCTCTCCATCTGGTAGACAGTGCTGTAAACATTTACGGGATTTTCCGTCCAACATATAATAGGCACTCTTCAAAATGAAAGCTCCATCATTTGTTGCATTCAAAGAAAGAATGTCTTCCCCAGCTTCATTCATAGGAGGTAATAAAGAAATCAGCCTTTGGAAAACATTACTTCTCTCGTTATTTTTTGTCACGTCACCGATGAAGTGTAAAATTTTTGGATCGGGTAATAATGTACAGGCCTTTTTCCAAAATATATGAGACCAAATGTTGAGCTCCGCAGCATAACCA